TCAGTAAACCAGAATCCTTCTCGAGACTTGTTGGATCAACGTTGTTCACTTCCATCCAATGCATCAAGGCTTGAAAGACGGTATTTTCACAACGAGTCTGGAGATTACTGCTTCCTAACAGATATTGCACGAACGGTTGCGACTGACTGGTGAATTTCTCTACCTGCCAATGATTTTCTAAGGGAGTAAAATTCCCACCCATTGTAACTTGCATGGTGGCTGCCAGATCTTCGACATCACCAAAACTGTGTTTCTCCTTGATAACGTGCATAACTTGCTTGCAAATATCTAATGTAGTCACACGTGTTTGCAGTACATACTTACATTTCTTAAACACAAATTTCACATCATACTTATCAGCTAGCTCCAATACAGCTAACAATTCCTCTACAGTAGCACCATTCAAGATATCTGCTTTATAGGTTGCTTCCAGCAACATCAAGTGAGTCGCCTCTTCACATTCGCTGACTTTAACATGCACCTCCTTGCTGCTAGACTCCTTCATACCTGTGACAGAGAGAAAAAACAATTTATTTAGCTGTGTACAGGTGCATGATAGGGATGTAACAACCGAGACACATTTACACAATTTTACTTTATTGAAGCAAGGAAATAGTTTAAAACATCCTATGAGGGCATAACGTCTATTCCTCTCTCAACACACTATATAGATGCTTTGAAAAACAATTACATTAAAAACATATGAACATGCATATTGAAGCGATAAACCGACAAAACTCGAGTACAAAACTATAATTTAGAAAACTATTTATTTAAATATTTATTAAGTAAGGCTTAAATGTTCGCTCCGTTCAACTGTATAGCATAAACTTACACTTGTCCAAGTTTCTACAACTAACAGTTCCTTTATTTCGCGCATATACAGTGCAGTATCCTTTAAAAATTACATAATAATACTAAATACGGCAAGTTTTCTTTACAGCGACTCAAGCACATGTCATTCCTGCACGTAATCCGATCATGTCCGGCACGTTACGAACAGTTCTGCATGGAACTCAACGAAACACGTATAAAATACTAAGCGGAACTTCAAAAATTAAAAAAAATTATTTAAAATTTTTTCGTTTTAAATTTTAGACATTCTTTGGGTTTTATATATTCAGATGTTTTTAATAATATTAATAATTGTTTTTAAAAACATCTATGGTACGTTGAGAGAAGAATAGACGTTATGTCTTCAATAGATGTTGTAAACCTTATAAACATTTGGTTTGGTTTTTACATTTTCAGGTAAAGATTGGATATATAAATTGGATATTTTTTATAAAGTAGCAACTAAAATACAATCTTTAATTACTCGAAAGAATCTGTTCTCTATAAAAACCTCCACAAAACTAAAAGTTTCTATAAAATACAGTCAATTTGAACACAATTCGTTTGCGGTCAATCACAAACTTATTTCTATAGCTCTTGCGCACGAAACATAACCCACATGAAAACGAGGTCATTGGGGCAAGAGCAAATAATGTAACAATATGTTTTACACCACTTTATTTTTTAATTTTGGAACTGCATGCATTATCCATTTACAATTTTTCAATTTATTATAAAACCGAGTTTCATTCCTGAAGGTCATAATCAAGTACTGTAATTAAATCATAAATATATCATGTTTCTCATTCCACGCAACTAACATGTAATCGTGTATGCATGGAACTTGGAATATTTCCTATAGTCGTGAGTTCATTGACTATATGATAATCAGGGTTCATTTTCCTATATATTTATTGGTGCATGGAAATCTATGATCAATAGAGAGGACATATCTCACGAAATATCTTTAAGCCGTTTACAGCACCTTCAAAAGCATCATAAATTAATTAAACAATGATTAATTAAACAATTGTTCAAACTGCTACGTTATTTACATATCATTTTCACGGCTCATAAGTTTAGCTTAAGTTTTTAAATGGCCGGGGCTCATGCATAGAGCTCTTAAATTCATTTGTATAACTATTAGGAAAACATATAACAACCAGTGCTAACATGCATTTTGTATAACTAATGCCGTAATAATAAACACGTCTATTGTGCTTCTCGTGCTTATAGATGTTGCGGTGTGAGTTTATACCTGCAGAGGGCAACGTTAACTGAATAAGCTGTATATTCCTCATACCTGAGTAGAACAGAGAGCGGAAATATTTGCTCTGTACAGCTAGCCATGAACTGTGAACAAATATCTTGTGTTGCCGAAGGATTCCTTTCTTAGAATATTCAAAGTTCTCTGTAGAGTAAGTAGAACCTTGAGCCAGCTGGTTTTCGTCACTTGCAACCAAAGTTGCAGTTTCATTCTGCGATTCATTGTTGAGGCTTGTGCTAGAATCTTGCCCGGAAGTACTTCCTGTTTCGATATTTCGCTCGACTTCAGGTTTGATTTCGTTAGATTCTACCTCTACACTCACTTCGCCGTCTGAATTGCTTCCATTTTTAACATCTTGTAGTACTTCGTTTGAAATAGTCGTCGAAATTTGGCCAGGATTTTCCTCAACATTCACAGAATCATCGCCATGTTCACTACTTGCGAGAATTGCGTGTGTCTCCCAACCATCTTGCATGACATCAAACACCAGTACTCGATCATGTAGTTCTGGCATATTGTACTCTGGTGCATACACTTTCGACAGCTCAAGTAAATCGTTTAGTTTTAAATCACACGACATTTCTTAAATGCACAGAAACGGCTACAGAACGCAGAGACTGACAAAGCGAAAGCAACTATCAGCAGTACTGATTTGAATGTATAACACTACGTACTGTAATTCGATATGTTTCACACAAACTTGCAATTGTATGATAATATTAGTGTCGATCGAATGCCCATGCATGGACAATAGCCTGAGAACGAGGCTGCGTGCAAAATTGTAATGTAATGTATAGAAAACCTAATTATTTTTTGTAACACGAAGCCTAAGTTTTAGTCGATATTATTCTTTTGGGTATAATCCGGAAAAATCCTAATAACTATAAGGACAATTTCCGGGAAACGTATACTCATTCGTAGTTAAGAAATGCTTTTATTTTGTTTGGTGCTGACGTCCGAGAATTCTGAACTTAAACATCTTCAAAGCTTGTGTGTGAGCACGTCTGGGAAATATAATAAGTTTTTTCGTTTCAAACAAAGGCTCTCTTGCCGGACGAAGTTACCTTCTTATATTTTCCAGGCCGTACAGCCAATAAGCAGTAAGCAAAGATATAAACTACGTGGCTAAATAATAAACTATCTTTAAGGCCCGTTTGTAATTTTCTGCTGATGCATGTGAACAAGTATCCTCATCTGAACATTCACTTCTCATCCACTCGTTCACATTCATCAGAAGAAGAATATTAATTGCAAGTGTAAACGGGCCTTCACATTGACATCAATAAATGGTTAGACTTTCACGTCTTTTCGGATAAGGACTTTAATTAAATTGTAGGTACCTCGGACCCCTATCAATAGGGCAATAGGCTGTTGGAAAATCCGCTTACCAGTGAGCGAGAAATTCAATAAACAATATTACGATATTAGCCAATTTCCTAGCTCTTTTTCCTCGATTATTTAAGACCTTGTGTAAAGGTGCGACCAAGGATTGAACCCATAGATCTCTCAGCTTGAAACCCAAATGTGGTGACCACGACACTGCGTGTACATGCTGGTTAGATGTCGTGGCTAATATCTCCCAGCTCCACCTAGGCACAGAATAAAGACACACAGAAGGTCGAATCAACCAAAAAAACGTAACCGCTTCCCAGTGAACTATACTCATGTTATATATAGTTCAGTGCCGCTTCCACGCTATGATTCGTCATCAAAATAAAATGCTGACACCATGGCCACGCCAGTGCGCTTATGAGAGACATTCACCCCCAGGACGTCCCCATTTTGATTATTATCAGGGGGTGAATGCCTCTCATAAGCGCACTGGCTAGGCCATGGCGTCAGCATTTTCATGACGAATTACGGTTACGCCAAAACTACAGGAAAAACCAACTAGTCGACCTTCTGTTTGTCTCTATTCCACTCAACCTAACCATGAGCTTATTACGAAATTATTCTGAAGTCTTTCTGGCGTTTGATATTTTAGCGCCCGTTATGGCACCGTAAACAGCGGTTGCTAAGACTTGTTGGCGGTTAAAATCGTAGCCTAGTCAGGGACCGAAGTTAAATGTTTCAGAACTCTACGCGCGAAGAGAAATGCTTTATAAGTATAGGTAATAGCATGGTTTCGAGTGCAATTTGGATATAACATGCACGAGTGAGTTTTTCAAAGACCTCGAAATAGTACGAGTCCGAAGGACGAATGCTATTTGAGGTCTTTGAAAAACTCACGAGTGCATGTTTATCCAAATTTCACGAGAAACCATGCTATTACTTATTAATAATTTACATAAAAACAGTCGAGACAATTGTAGTTTTTTATAACTTACGCGTTTATAGCGAACATTCCACTGGCAAAGTTTTCCTGGCCTTGTTATATCACATTATACAACGCTAACTGCAGCTTGAAAATTCCACTCAACTATGTATTAATTGTGTAATTTTTATTTAACTATGTACTTTGTATTTTTGTACTCAACTATGTAGTCTCGTTTATGGTAAATGCTTTTCCATTTAAAAATGAAGATAAAAGCCGTATTTTCCACGCGAAGGCAACTTTTACTTTGTGTAGCGCGGCGCCATGTTTGTTTTGTTTTGTTTTGTTTTGAAGCAATCTTTAAACTGATTGGTTGATTTAATCATCACAATGTTTTTCCACCAATCAGATCAGTTTGTTACAGAGTTTTGCACTGTGATTACAGAAAATTGCACTGTGATTACAAAAAATTGCACTGTGATTACAAAAAATTGCACTGTGATTACAAAAAATTGCACTGTGATTACAGAAAATTGCACTGCTGTTTGGGATTTACTGCACTGAAATCAACCAATCACAGTCGAGTAATATCTTTATGTATATATTAAGCCCGTTATTCAGATTACATACAAAGCAACCACAGTTCTGTACAAGCGCGTATAGCTTACCGAAAGGCTTTATACCCATGCATGTAGTCGGCGCATTATTCTAAGAGCGCAGTAGCATCGTTAAATTCCACTTTTATGATTAATATACAGCATTTTATTTTGCAGTATTTCTCCCAAAAGAATATTGAATATGATCCTGCTTATGTTTTTCGGGATTGCCAGGTGCAGTATTTTGTAATAATTAATAAGTGATAATGTCTGCACTTGACGTATAGGCGTCGGATGTTTAGTTTGATTTAGGGGGAATTTCCAGGGACACTGGGTAAGAGACTGAAAAGTCATGTTCATGCAATTATCCCCCAAACCACCTTTGTAATTAATCTATTCTTATTGGTTATGTTTAGGAAACTGTGAGAAAGGTCCATAGATCTGGACAGATTGGTTCTAGTGTTGAAAAAGATATCGGTATGAATACATGAATCTATATATGCATAAGGTCTTATAAAAGTTAAAAGGCGGCATAATTCAGTTTTTTACGTATGAACACGAACAAGTTTTTTACGCATGAACATGAACAAGATTTTTACGCATGAACACGAGCGTGTAACCTGTTTATTTGCCTTAAAACTATGTTGCACAACAAAGTAGAAATTTATAAATGAGATACTTAATAATTACCTCTAGAATTCAACAATAGTTATCAGAAAAATAAGACTTTGTGAAACATAATTATAAAGATACAGTATCTTCTTCTAACTTTTCCACTATTTTGTGTGGTAAACAAACACATAGTCTGCATCAATTAATAATTAGTGGTCAAAGTTTCCAAAATTTACTTTAACAGTGATCCAAATGATTGCATGGTTTTCTTAACTTGCAATACTATAAATTTAGGAAGGCCTTTTCCTGGCGAAATCAGGTACGGTAGTTGTGCCCTCTGCTGACCATAGTGCGCACCAAATTTTGCAATTTAACTGAACGTAGCAGTTCCGCCTGACCGCAAACCTGAACTGTAGTATATTAGGCCCCCATGTACACTTGCGATTTTGCTGCGAGTTTAGGTGCCTTTATCTGCATCTGAAGGATGTAAACGACTAAACGAGTGGATGAGCTACGAATGTTCAGAAGAGAGTACATATAGACCCATTACACATGACGTCACAGCGCCAGTGACGATGCATCTGGAGGACAAATTAGCAATCTGTGCATAATATAACTTTTGTAAACAAAGCAAATTTTGTAAAACTTTATAATAATTTTGTATTAAAATGGTTAGTTTTTGCGCTATATGCGGTTGTGGTACCCGAACAAATATTGTTATGGAGCATCTGGAGGAAACTCTAAGGATTTGTGACCCGTGGTGCAATGGGTCTATACTCAAAAACTAATCTACTGTATTCACTCAGTCACATAACTGATCTATTCGCCTGCGTGCATCAGAAGAAGAAAATTGAACTAGAAATTATAATTACAGCAAAACGGGCCAGTCTGTGAAAAAATCAATTTTGACAATTCTATTGGGTTATACTTGTTTCTGGAAATACTTCCAACAAAGATATAGCACCACAAAAATACTGCTGAATATTTTGTTGTACTATAAATAATTCATATACTGGGTTGTAAATGACATTATTGATGATTACATGCAGGAGCGATATATCTTGTTGGAAATGTCTCTTGGTCTTTGATCTGCAGGAAATCTTGCCTTCTGCATTCACGTTTGTCTGGCGTGGCTGTGTTGAAAGTTTTGATTTCTAGTCCGAGTGTTCAGGTTTGCGCGCAGTTTGTTATGATCAGCGAGGTTTCTGTCATATGATGTAACCTTTAACGTTGCTGCTGAATTATGTTATATGCAAATCGTATCCAATCATGCGATATGTAACCACTTTTGATGAGTTACTTTTATCGAGATACTCAATCATTCATGTTCTTATCTTGTTCACGTAATTTAAAATCAGTAATCATTTTAAACATTTGATTTTTCAGGTCGTTATCTTCATCCTAACCCGGAATTACGAGAATTCTTACAAAGCTTAATTGAATGTGGGAAACAAACATTCCTCATAACAAACAGTGATTTCAATTTTGTGTAAGTTCTTTATAGATCTCCGTTGCCTCGCTACTCTACCATTCGCTGATGCGCAATATGTCAACAAAAATTTACAAATGATAGAATCTTCGTGGGGTAGCCGAAAGATAAATTACTGATAGGAATGACTTCGCATATAATATCTAATTTATTGTTTTATGATGTTTAATTAATCTGCTAGAAAATTAGAAATTATTTTACAAATATCTGTGTATGTAAAAGGATCATCGCTTCTGGCACAATAAAGACTGTCAGTCCAACCGATTACAATTTTATGTATAAATGGATTTTCGCATCGGCAATCTTAGAACTGCATGCAGTACAGGGACTTCATTAATCATTAATGGCCGAGTGTTAAGTGTCACTAGAGGAAAGGGGAGTGCCTTACATGTACTCTCTGTAATCCTCCCGTGTTTTATAGATTTAATAGGAACACTCTTCTCACAAGCAATGCCCTTTGTGCATGCCTGCGAAAGATAGTAGTGTAAGAATTTTACATACTGTATTATTCCGATAAATATGCAAAACCCACTGTACCATTATATTGGTTTAGGTAAGCGAAATTCGCCATTTCCCTTTGTGTTGGATAGGAATAAGGGTATGCGTCATATGTTAGGAGAGACATGGATGGAATTATTTGATGTTGTTGTCACAAGTGCTAGGAAGCCATCTTTTTATCAACGAACTGACAGGTACATTCAACA